TGTCGAGAATATAAAATCCTCGTTTTTTCCGCGCATCTTGGAACTCAGTTCCGCTCTTGACCACATTCGTGCTTGCATCCCCTCTTCCCAGAATCTATTTTTTGTTCTTGAGGATTACTCATGGCCTGGAACCAGCAGGGCCAGCCCCAGCAGGCGTACGGGTACAATCAGCAGCAGGGATATGGACCCAACAACGGACAGTGGAATGCCGGACCCAATCAGTGGCAGGGCGCCGGTGGACCGTATCCTCCCCCATCTCAGCCTTATGCCGCTCAGGTTAACCCTCCCGTAGTTGGGTTTAGCGATTACAAGGCCAAGACGGACGAGTATGGAGAGAGGTTCAAGCCGAAAAGCAAGTTGCATGACATACCCTTCTTGATCTTGTTTATTGCACAGGTAGGTGCTGCGGCGTCCATATCGTAGGTTGGAGTGAAGGGCAAATATGGCGCTAATCCTGTTTAACTAGTTTCTTGGTTTTGCCGCCGTATCTGGAATTGCGTTGAATAGCTGGATCAAGAATGGGTCCTTGTCGAGTGGAGGCGTGGGTGGCACCGGACGAAGCGGAACAAACGTTACCTTAAACTCGTGCGTGCCATACTCCAAGCTGTAGATCAACCTCCTAACGTTTGGTTCACCGACCCTTTCGGTTGCACCATCTTCAATCAATGTATTGGAAAGCGTTGAACAGCCACACGGTTTACCTGCTTCTGCTCGTAACAGCTTGCGCGCTCGTCCTTTCGACCCTCTACCTGATGTTGGTGCGAGCCTTCACCAGGGTTATCCTGCAAATCACCCTGGCCTTAAGTGTAGCCGCCAATATCGGTTAGTCTAAACCCTAGAACTAGTGGAACAAAGTCTAATTCACGCCGTCTTATCGCAGCTATCGCCGTCTACTATTATGTCACCAAATATTATTCTGGAGCAATCATCTTCACGATCATAGCTGTATTCGGTATCCTTGCTTATTTCGGAATGCGGAGTCGTATCCCTCTAGCAAGTCTGTTGCTTCAAGTAAGTTTATCTTCCCGTGATTCTCTACACGGGGTACAAGCCAATTACCCACTGGACCTTGAACCTTAATAACCTTCACGTCCTAACCATATTTGTTTGCCGTCTAGGTTGTAATGGACGTATCGAAGCACCACAAGAGCGTGTACATTGTCGCATTTTCAGGACTGATTGTGCAAGCTGCCCTGAGTGTGTGAGTGACGTAATGGACTTGGGTTCGATATTCACATCTAACCGGGTTCTTCATCGAACTCTTCTTTGCATTCAGTTGGTTCGTTTTTACCGCTATTGCGACATATGCAAAGTGGACGCCGAACAATGCCAGTGAGTGTTCTTCCATCTTTACGGATTGCATTCTTTCTATTTTTTCTATCGAAATATACGTGTGTTCCTTCATTCTGCTGCTAACTTAATCCTCGCTTAGCGTGCGGAAATGGTTCTTCATGTTCCTCAGGAACTGTAACTGGTCTTATCTTCTTCGAACTCTTCTCCTATCTTTGGACGTCCCAAGTCATTGGTAATGTCTGCCTGGCTACTATGGCCGGAGGACCATACGGTGGCTGGTATTACTTTGGCCCTAGTAATATGGGAATGATGGTAGGTGTCCGCCCCAATTTTCTTGCAGCATCTGAAACTGACTCCATTTGCAATCGGACAGCCCAAGAACCCGGCACTCTCAGCGTTTGCGCGTGCCTCGACTCTTTCCCTTGGCTCTATCGCTTTCGGCTCGCTGATTGTCACCCTACTTGAGCTGTTGCGGATTATTCTGAATGCAGTCCGCGCGAATGCTGCCGAGAGCGGAAGCCGTGAGTCACTTCCATGGTTTAGTATTTCGAGGGTGTCTGATGGAATGAGGTTTTTTTTAGCCGTGGAAGCCGCTTTGGCGTGCTGCGCTGCGTGCTTTGTGGGCTGCATTGAGTCGCTGGTAGAATATTTCAACCGATACGCATATATCGAGATTGGTGGGTACTTTTATCGACGTTTCGTACCAATCTTGTTGACTGAGTGGTCATTGCAGCGCTATACGGCAAACCGTACATCCCTGCTGCCAAAGACACCTGGCGCTTGTTCAAAGACCGTGGGATTGATGTCCTCATCAATGACTCTCTTACGGGAATGGGTGCGTAATAATTGGGAAGTCCGCTTGAATCCATGGAGAAACTCACCACGGCGCCTCTTTTTAGCGATGACTTGGGGCGCCTATCTTGTTGGTCTTTTGTGTAGCCTATTCGCTTACCTTTACCTTCGTTTGACCAACCCATCATATAACACCGACGGACAATATACGGCGCCCGTCTTGCTATTTGCGTTCGTAATTGGTCTCCAATGCTGTACGTCGCTACCCCAGACAAACTCCGACATATAACCAGATTCAACACTAACGCTTTTGCTATAGCTTTAACACTTGCTTCTGCGATCGAGGCCGGTGTGTCAACTATGTGAGGATTTGTTGATTGATCTGATTTGAGATCATGCTAAAAATTTTCCCTGTAGATTTGTCGGTCTGGGTGAAGATCCTCAAGTGCTGGCTGAGCGGTCGCCGGGGCTGTTTGAGGTGAGCGCAATGTTTTTTGTTTGTAGAAAGAGAGTTGATCATCGCTTATTGTTCATCTATCTTCTCTACTGGATAATACTGCATCCTGACGCTCTGTCGCTAGATGATTCGCGAGCATTATCCGGATGTGGTCCGCCCCATTGCTTCAGTATAATGGGAGCCAATGTTTCAGCTCGAAGCGCGCAGTGGCACTGTTTTGTGGTTCTTTCTCTCGGTTTGAGCTCATTGGAGCCGAGCAAGCTCCTTGTTTCAGTCTTGTCTCATTTTTCCTGTAGGCTACTGATAATTTTGGTTTGGTTTATTGGTACTATATTACATGGACGTTAGCGACAAAAGACCGACACGGCTTGCCACAAATGGGCTCTACCTCGGCTCAAATCCAGTGACATATTCGATACATTATTGGCCCTTGGACGGAACTGCCTGAAAACATCCTTCAGTTGGAGTTTTCTGGACGGATAAGGACAAGTAGGTTAGACAAAAAAGTACATAGCGCGATCATACTTGGCCAGCTGGCGGCGGCGTGCTATTCATGGAAATTTGTCGGGCCGCGTTGATCAGGCTAGTGCACACACAAAAAGAAGCCCGACGCGGGGCTCGAACCCGCAGCCTTGAGATAGACACCACTTCGATCAATGGTTCGTAAAAGTCTCACGCTCTACCGATTGAGCTAGCCAGGCTTGGTTTACTGATGGAGCAGAGTATTCACGTCTCCCACCAGAATATCAGATTTGCCCGAAATTAAACCATTGTATCGGCTTTCTGCCGAGAGTGAGTGAGTGAGTGATCCTTGTACCTAATCTTGAGTAGATCGGGTGGCAAATTCGTCCGCTGATCTACGTGCCATTCCGAGTAGGTCCACCCACTCCACCTCCTATGCTCTTCTTGTAAGTTCAGTCATCCGGACACAAGGATAGCTGTAGGGGTAAGGTCAGGGCCCAGTCTTCGCAAGGCTCATTGATGTCACCCGATATTGGCCCAATGTTCTGGAAACTGAGTCATCCAAGGCGCCACACTATTTCAGTCGTCCGTTCGGCGAGACATAGCCGCGGTGTTTAAGCAATTCGCAACTTGGATATTAGCAAATGTTATCTCAGTTGAACAACACTATATGGTATACATAGGACTGTGCTATTTGACCATGGAGCCATTCGGACAGTATCCAGATACTTGGTGCTTGAGCAGGGTTCGTCTGGAAGTTGGCGCCCAACATGCTTGTGGCTTTAAGACATTTACTCTCACTGTGCCCAGCGATCTGGATAATGGCACCTGAAAAATCGCCATATTTGTAGCGAACTTTTACCTTGCGGCACATATACCACCGATGTGTATCTCCGCTGACCCAAATTTTGCAGTATATAGGTATATGAAAGTAGGTTTGGTCTATCTATGGTACCAGGCTTGAACACTTGTGGACCCAGCTCGAGATCCTCTGATAGAGCATCGGAAGATTGGATGGGAAGAAATCGTTAGTACATCAGATGTTTCGTCATGACCCGAGGTTTGTCCCAGTGGCCCAACTCGGCTTCCTGCTTTATCCTGATCGGATTAACAAAATACTATAAAGAACAAAATTTGGTCAATTCTATATACATTCGAGTCTATGTGTCCAATCTTTAAAGTCGAAGTATAAGTGAGTCCGAAGTTTAGAAGTAGATACAGCTGCGGACACAAATAAATAACAAGAAGCACTGTTCAAATAAAAAGTAAAAATAAAAAAGCTGATTTATCTTCAGTACCAAATCTAAGGTTCAATCCATATTAAGGTTTGTCGAGTCTAGTATTATTCGCTCCGGCGTGCCCAAACCATATGGTACTTGGTTAGTGTCTGAACGTTAGGCTCCCTGAGATCACGTAGAACGGCCTGGGTGAGCGCCTCGGCATCTGGGAGAGGCATTCCCGACATCTGTAACATCGGCCGGAGACTGAGGGTTGTTGCCTTCCACACCCGAGCTCCCATGAGCCCTACATCATGCATGAGCGGGTGCGGATGCCACAAGCCGTTGGGTACCGCGCGCATGGTTTGCGCCGAGGGTTGAAATCCGCCCAATGCGTTCAGCCACGCTGGCATCTGTGTCGCCGCGCGTACAGCGATGCCCTGGCGTTCGAATTCGCGTCGAATAATTCGCACAAAGCGCGTTAGACCGGGAGCGTTAGTCGCCGGGCGGACCAGTTGGGGGTCGGACGCGTCGAATATTTCGAGCTCTTGCTCTCCAAAAAGGAATAGCCCGCCTGGACGGAGCACACGGCGAATTTCTGGAAGAAAGGCTCGATAGTCTCGGAACTACAGAAATGGAATGTGAGTAAGAAAACCTAGAACGAACGACCGCCCAAGGAAGGATTCAGTGAGGCAGGTGAAAACGACATATGCCCATTTGAAGGCTAGAGTGATCGATGATGGAGAAGGGAGAAAACAAGCGTGAGATGTCTTACCGTCGTCATCGTAAAACGGCAGTGCACCATATCAAACGTGGCGTCTTGTGCTCGGATACCATCTAATATGTTGTACACCTCGAATTGTATGTTTGCATTTGGGGTATGAGGCGCCATCGGCGCAAGATCGACGCTCACGAAATCCACATCGGGTCGCTCAGAGGCTAGTTCCTTGACCCTGAGCGCATGTATGGTCAGATTTCATACCCAAAAGTGAAGCATAAGGTAGAGAAACCTACCATGTTCCAGACCTCGTGCATATATCTAACACGCGCCTTCTGCGGCCCCGAGTGGGCGCAAGGCATTCTGTAGTTGGCCCCCACTGGTTACCTTCCAATAGTAACTTGAGGCTGGCGTGCTGTAGGTCTTGACGGAGCAACTCTTCGTTGTCAACAGGGAAAGCGAGGGGGAGGTTCTCTTCGACATGAAATCGGCGGCCAAAAAGCTCGCGAAAGTACTCTATGACATAGTGAGTGAATAAGAGGGTGGCTTCGGATATACAGGGCACATGCTTACCTCCAGCTTCATCCGAGCCAATGGTGGTCATGGAGCCACTGGATGCTTCCGAACCATCAGAGTCATAGCCAGATGAACGAGATGGGTCGTCACTTTGTGAGGGGTGAACGTAGTGAACGACTCCACCTGTTGCTTCATCCCAGTAGCGAGACGTCATGGTAAAATGAGGAGTGAGGCGTATGCTTGTGTGAACGGAGGTCAATATATAGACGGGACAATGATAGTCGATAGAAAAGGGACAGTAGGTAGAAGGAGCGTGGAGTCCGAAGACAAGCCAGAAGTATGCAAGGCTAAAGAAATAGTAAAAAGAAACGCCGGGGATGATATCGAAGCCGGTACAGATCAAAGATTGTGTAATGTCAGAGAATGGATAGGCGCGAAAGTGGCGCTGCTGAAACGGTGCAGGGGAGATGTTTGCTAGGGCAGAGTCATTTCTCGTGGCTTTGCCTTTCTATGCCACGCGAGCGAGGACAGCTTCTTGCAATGCCCGCGACATCGAACCACCTTTAGGGGATCGATGACCCTCGTACGAGTGATGACTTGGTTGTGTATGCCGTGGGACGATGAGTATAAGCTCGATCGTTCTAAGGAGCTCATGGACCTAGAGCTGGGCGGGAGCTCACGGAATGTCATTATCCTATAATATTGCTATCAAAATCGTCAACTGTAGCCTACTAAGACAAAGGAGAAGTAGCATGAGTGGATATGAGCCAGATCTTCAGCTCCAAGCCAGGAGACGAGCCTCACCAGCTATTGCTTCTCTCATTAACGGTCCTGGCGATGATAGCGAACATTTTCCTGATTGGTTGATATGACAATTCCCAGTTGCCGGAGGCACTAATCAGACGTTATGTCTTGTATTTGAGCCAGAGCGAGTAGTCCGACACCCATACTTTTGGAGCAAGCGGACAGGATATAGATTACGGAGCGTAACCAAAAGATATCGTACGTAGGCATTATCCCACCAGTATCACGCAGTGGGACGAATGTTTGTGACTAGACGGTTTCTCATACGACGCCATCAGCGCGTGCCCCAAGCAATTATTGAGCCCCATCTGGTCGTAACTCCTGAGACCGCAAATCTCCAGATATGGCCGAGGGTAGTAGTTAGACTCGGCGTCATAAGGACTCCAATATCGTGCCTGCATGTGAGAAACCGAACGAGATAAGGTAGCACCGACTAGCCTAGGAACGTAGCCTGCATTTGCACAGTGGAGAGCGCCAGCCTAGGCCAAACATAGCCAAGAGGATGACAAAAATGAGCTGGTCGTCGCTGTGGCCGATGTTGTGGTGAAGTAGATATGACAACCGGCGCCAAAGCGACGTAAGTAATTCTTCCCAGTGATCGCTGCGTACAAGCATTCTGCCTTTGCATCCCACGTGGCTTTCAATGAAAACCACGTGGTAGTGAGATGCGGAGGTATGAGCCGAGATAGCTAGTCTGTCAAACAAACGCGGCTGTAAAACCGGCGGCCACCAGCTGTGGTGGTTGTGGTTCAGAACAAGATCAACTTGAGGGACAGCCACAGAGTCCTGATTGGCGCCGGGCTGCTGTAGAAGTGTGTTCCAACCACCACATCATGCAAGAGTCACGTTCGCTCTTCAGGTTGTCTAAAGATGGACCAGGACTGCCGGCTCAAAAAGACAGCTCTATTTTAATCATGGTCAGTTGGTTATGTCTTACGATCACTGAACTCAAATCACATTTGCGTCTGTCAGCCAGTCATTTCTGCAGGGAATGTCACCCAGTTGTCAGCGGACTTGCTCGTTCATACGCTCGCGCTCCAAAGGGCGGGCGTGTTTGATCCAGCCTACCACGTTTCTGTAGTTGGCGGCCCGGACGGCCCAGCCGCTGCCGGCGTCACCGTACCGATGGAATGTAAGCCGTCGCCATCGTTGCGTATTTTATGTCTGGTTCTTTCCTTAGCAAGTAGTATTCGGCTCACCAGGAGGAGATATTTACGTGCTACAGCAACGATCGCCGGTCCTCAAGGTTCTTTTCTCGCACCCATTCAGTTCAACTGCAGTTGTTCGGGCACTAACTATGATCCAATCTATCTAGGATCACAAAGAGGAGTTTGTCCAACGGCTACTGGAGATGATTGAATCTAGCGGGTTTGGGGCCCTACTCTATCTCGTTGGTTCTGATCTTTCAACCAGGACGGATGCTCAAATGAGGTCAGTAAGCATCAGACTGTGTTCGCTGGATCTTCATAGACGGTGCGCTAGTTCGATTTACTACCACGCCCTTTCCAAGAACACCACAAAGGGAGATATTTCGGCCGCACCTCTCGGTAGCATACTCGATCTACCAGCATTTGCCGACAGCGTGGATGCCCAGGACGTAGTAATCCCGGGAGCGGGCCTCGCACGGAGACTCTTATCTGCGCCTGGATCTAGTCCACCCCGTGTTGCGTTAGTACAGTTTGTCGCAGAAGGCGACAACGTCCCAGATGCTCGCGCGATGGCGGCCATGGTCGCGAAATTACTGAAGGTCGAAATACAAGGTTCGTGATGTATTTGAATATTATTTTCAAAATTAATATTATGTCACACTTAGAATGGAAAGAGCCACCGAGCTGGAATTTCGGGATATATGGAACCCCTCATGATCAAGAATTATTCGGATGAGTGTATTGCTTCAGCCATGTTAATCATAACTACTGAAAGAAAAAGAAGTTTCGTACCTACACAGTCCCTTCATGTCGCTTCTACTGAGCAGGTTCTCACA